GGGGACCGGGGTCCGATAATGGGAAATCAATGTAGAGAATAGCGCTCTGGAGTGGACCTCACTTAGCTCTCGCTCTTTCACGCCTCACAGCAAAGTGCCTCCGTGTGTACTTGTGTGCGAGTGCCTCTGTGTGTGTGTGTGTGGAGAAAATGTGTGTGTGCGGATCAGAATTATTATTATTTTTTTTTAAACATTGCCCAGTGAATGCAGGTCTACAAAATATACAACATTTTGTTTTTGGGGCTCAACTTCTACAGGTTAAAAGGAAATGTGCAGCTTTTAAAAAGCATATTGGATCTGATGTGAATGACTGGATCCTTGACATTTTCGGGGTCATCCGGCAGTAACCTGCATATATGGCTGTGAACAGCCGAGCGTGCGCGTCTAATCGGTCACACTCCTCCGCCCGGGGCCAGACAGGTGGGGCTGGTGGCATGACGCTGGTGCCCCCCCCCCCCAACCCTGAGGGGCCAGAAGGCCCAGCAAAGCAGGGGGCTGGAGTAGCTCCCTCTGCCAGGCACCGGAGCACTATATGTCTGGCGGCAGCTGGTCCTCCGTCCATCCCCCCACATCCTCCCCTGCGCGAGCGCCCCGCGGGCAGGCAACAGGAGGGGTGAGGAGGTCAAGAGGCAGGAGAGAATGGGTGGAACGGCGGCGACATGCTGGATAATCAGCTTTTATGAGGCGGAGAGGACACAGACGGGGAGAGACGGGGCAACACAGCTCCGACACAATGCAACCGACTCCAGGCCGTAATGAATTAACACATTAGCGTCGCGAGGCGTTCAGGGGCACTCAGCTGCTCTTAAACACACTGGCACACTCCCTCACACGCTCACACAGATCAGTCATTAAAGCAATAGCAAACACACTCACTTATTAATTACATCGGTCATTTTGTGGACGGCAGGTGCCCCCGGAAGCCATCCAGTGCGATGAGAGATTAAAAATGTCCCCGTAAAAACCACGGAGAAACATTCACTTAGCACTCAGGACGGATAAAGGCAGAGATTAACTCTTAAAAGTACTATCGCAAAACACATAAAGATGCTGCGGGGATCCTCTCGACCAAACTCAAACCATGTGTTCAATTATCATCAGCCCCAAATGATCCCCCAATAATGATTTAACTCTTTCTCTCACATCTCAGTCTGCCATCCTGTTTTTGCTCTCTGCTCTCCGTCCATCCCTATAATTCACGTCTGTGCGGTTTACTTACTTCCCTTTCTCACTCTCTTCCTCTCCATCCTCCTCTCCCTCCCTCCCTGACTTCTAACCAGCGTGAAGAGGCAGCCATGCATTCAACCATCAGACGGGCTTACATGGTGTACCCTCACAGGCACACACGGAGACGAGGCATGATGTTCCTCAAGTGAAACTAGAATGCAATGTTCGTTGGAGCAAATACCTCAGGGCATCTTACATTTGCATCTAAAGCTTATGACTCATTTGTAAAAAAAAAAAAAGAAAGAAAACACACTGAAAGTTTTTTCCGGTCGTGACTCATCAGTGCTTCAGTGAAAACAACCTTTAGAGTTGACGTCTTACTTATTTGGAAACTAACCTCTAACGTCATATTTACCATCCCATATATTTCACATTTACAGTGACATTTTAAATTGGCATTTCTGCTCTTTTTTTTTTTTAAGAGTTTGCCAGAGTCCAGAGAGCAGAGGTCCATGATGATGGCCTCTAGCGAGTCCCTGAAGGGGGATCCCATTCCTCTCCTCTCATCCAACAATCCCACTGAGCATGTCAATATGAAACACTATCCCACACACACACACACACACACACACACACACACCATGGGCTTACCCCTCCCATTACAGACGAGAAAGGTTTATATTGATAAGATGAGCCTGTAAACTGCTGCCACTGCTTGTGAGAAGATGCACGGCTCGGCGCACAGAAAGCTGTAAATTAGACCGAATCAAGTCTCCCAACAGTAAAAACGCATTTGCTCTATATTGCGCTCAACGGGAGCGTGATTTACGGCGCGACTTTGGTCGCATGCGGGTTGAGGGGAAAGCGTTGCTTACCCAACTTTTAAAAAATCCGCAGCCTTGTAAATGTTGTCAGATGGCCGATGCCAGTGTCTTTCAGCTTAATACTACCTATATTAAATAGTTTAAATATTTCATAAGGGCGGGTTTTAGAGCGAGGGAGGGGAAATCGTTAGCCGCGGTAAAGTTTCATTAACTGGTCCCCATTCCGCTGCGAGGCAAACTCATCTCCTCTTATTGTAATAAAACAATCTCTCTCTCTCTCTCTCTCGCTTTCTGTGGGTGCTGCTCCCCGCTCGCCTCCCTCTCTCTCCGCCGCCTCTCTCCTTCTCTTTTACATCATAATAATACACTACATCCCCTTTAAATGCACTATTACTTACCGCTGCCTTTTCATATTGTAACATCACGGGCACTTTAGCGACAATATAAAAGCGTGTCATTCATTATTCAGAAGCAGCCGGCCTCGTCCCCCTTTTAAAAAGTCAGGCGCGGCGGTGAAATTGATAACAGCGAGGAGACGCGCAATAAAAACGCAGCCCCCGGGTACCGAGCTGCAGCCCAGACCCCCCGATTATGCAGATCAAGTGGTAATTTCTCAAACAAATCGCAGTCTTTCACTCTTTTGTTGTCGTTTCTTTTTTGGACTTTTGGAATCAGGGTGTCAGCTTTTATATTGCCAAGCGGGGGGGGGGGGGGGGGGCGAGGATTGATGCGCATCTTAATTGCTTCGTGTGGGCTGCGGGCTTTACAGAGACCTCGTCTGAATGTTTGGGGCCTAAACTAAACCTCAAGGTTGCGTCCTAAAGACCGCGCGTGCGTAATTGGACTCTTGGCATCACATTTTTTTTCGGCCGTTGAAATCACGTTTTTTTCACATTTACACCATCAATAAATGCAGTGAGGCTGGAGGTGTGCTGATACCACTCCCGGCCTCGGGGTAACCGGTGGTACCCCGGTAGGTCAGAGCTAATGTTTCATAATCCTTGGATTACACCGGATTACTGACCCCCAACATCTGCAACCAGTGGGACCCCGTATGCTACACAGGGACTGCGATACAGATACTATCCATTTCCATGGAGCAGTTGTTCTGTTGTGATCTGTGTGCCTCCTATATGAGGTCGTTTAATTGTTTTTAATTTAATTTAATTTACTTAAATATGATGGAGGTTGTTTTTCTTTCAAATGAGGATTTCCGCCACAATCACGTTCATTCTTGCAAAAGTCATCCAGAGAAACATAAAAATGTCCACAAAGATGACAGCTATAAAAGACAAACTCTCCCCCATCAAAAGCCACCGGAGAGCTCACATATGGCGGGGTGAAGCAGCCAACACTAAGTCTGTCCATATTGCCAAACAAACACCTCGGGCCTTGTCCCATCGCATATTGCTTCATAAGACTTTATTGTAAATCGCGAGAGGCGGATCTTTAAAAAAATAAAATCCATATTACCTACGGGATTTTTGCATTTCTGTGTGGTTTTGTATCATACAACCTCACACTTTATTATTTATATTCTATTCTATTCTATCTATTCTTATAGGGAGATGAACATAGACAATTAATTTGTAAATAATTTTACAATTGACAATTGCATATAGCCGGTATAAAAAAAACACAGGATAAGCCAAACCGAAAACAGAATTTTGGATATAGTTCGGGCCGAATGAAACACATGCCCAGAAAAAAAATCATGATTAATAAACAAGTTGTGTCGATCTTTTAAAAGCCCACAAATGCACGCCTCGCTGTCACTAAATGAATATGTTGGCCGTTCGTTTGTTTAAGTAGTGTAATGTGATCGCCCAAAGAGCCACCTGCCGCATCGGAACCCGACGCGCATTTGTCTGACAACTTAGTGAAAATGTGATTATCTGGTCACTTTGGGCGCCCGTTACATTGAATCTGAGCGGTTAGCAGCTTCCAGAGCCCGGACACTTTATCTGAAGTAGCCCGTGGCCTTCCGTTGTCAGGTCATTTAATGCGGCACTGGCTACCAGGAACAAATACGGCCACATAATACTCGGCTGTGCTCAATAGCTGCTGCCAGTGGTCAATTACGGCTGTTGCCCTTTTGTTGGAAAAAGACACGCGAGATGGGTTTCACGCGCGTAATTGAGAACGTGGATTTCGTGGTTTTTATGCTTTCCCAATAATCTCACATGACCCATCATTTATGAAAACTACTGGAACGGATTATCCAGAGAATTTGTTCGATGTATTTTTTCCAGCTGTGACTGTTTTAGTTTTCAAATAAATCGGAAAAAACAGTTAAATCACGTTTGGTTTCAGCTTAAGCGTCTAACGTTTTTTGGGGGGGGGGGGGGGAGGAGGAAAAATGCCGACCAACATTTCTTCCTTCAGGTCTGCATGTGCTTTAAAATACATCCATTGATAGTCCCCGTGGCCATTATATCACTCCATAATAGCTTCCGGTTGTCATGCAAACGTCTTATTCGCGTACATCCCACATGTGTCAGACCGCAGATATCTAAGAAGTGACGCAGACAGCGGGCAACAAATGCTGCGGACATTTGTCTCGCCTGAAAACTAATGGCGTCATTTCATCAGACCCCGCGGTGGGCAAAAAGTTTTTTTCCATCTAATATAATGTATCACCGAAACTTATACAACACTAAAGACGTGCACGTGACACACGGACAGATGGCCAAACTTGCAGCTGGTTAAAGCTCTAAAATATGTGATGTTCATCGCCAAAGACGCCCAAATCTGCGGTGATCCTGGAGCAATTATTTTACATATATAGGCACTTCAATAACCATGAAGCTGTCGCGTGCTCCTGACTCTCCGTTAAAATGGGGGGGGAAAAACCTCAAATACTAGCTCACTCAGAAGGAATGGAGATGCCATGTATATAAAACACGCTGACGCCCGTGGTTGTGGGAAATATTGGTTATTGTGCCAAATTGTGGGCCTACCCTCCATTAACATTCAATCAGTCATCCGGGTGCCAGCCAATGAATGGTGGAGAGGGATGGAGGAGGACGGAGCTGCTAAACTGAGCGTTTTGACGCGCAGAGAGGAGGACAGAGCGTCACATTTCTCCAAACGCCCATCAAACTTTCACCACAGCAGCCTGTAGAGGGGACCCGGTCCTCTGAAGGAGGGCCTGTCAGAGACACCGAGGACACGCTGGGGTCGGGGCGCGCGCGGCCGGACAGCGATGGAGACACTACTGGCGATTACTTTTGGTACTGTTTGACCGTGACGTGGTTCTCCCCGAAAAGATCCCGTTCCGTTTCCTGCGCCCTTTTCGCGACAGAGCAACTGGGATGGAGCAAGCACCCAGCGCGCCGAGCCCGCCTCCGAAGCCGGCTCATCATGAGCCCATCAGCTTCGGCATCGACCAGATCCTGGGAGCCGGCACGGAGCCCGACAACGGGCGCGCGTCTGGAAGACAGAGTGGATCCGAGTTAAGCAACGGGGACGGTTATTACAGTTTGGGAAGCCCGACCGGGTCCACCGCGCCCGCGTACACCGCGCTGTCTATCTCCCTCTCCGGTATAATGCCTCCGGGAGAGGCGCCCGGCTCATACGGGGAAAGCAGGAGTCTGGGCAGCCGCGGAGTGATCCGAGTCCCGGCCCACAGACCCATGACAGCGCCGGGACCCCCGGCCGCCGTCCAGGGCGCTGTTCCGGGTTTTGGAGGGCTGTGCTTCCCATGGATTGGAAACCGGTTCGCCAAGGACAGAATATCAGGTAGTCCAGCAGTTCCCACTAAAGGGATGCCCTCATTAATAATGGATCATATTTAAAACCCTAGAAACTAGAGACAATGTGTCTAAGGCTTTATACAGTCAACTATGTTTTACGTTCAATCGACCTTAAAAAAAAGGCATTTTCCAATAATGAAGTATACTTCCGATTGTTATTAAGAGTCTTGTGTCAGCACAACTTACTACACGTGTGGTGAAAATGTTAAATATTTAATGGCTACATAAAGTGGATAAGATTTTTTTAATGTATATAATATATATATATATATATATATATATATATATATACACACACACAATTAAAATGTATAAACCTAATATATCATATTATATATACATATACGTACATACATAAATAAATAACAAAACCGTGCCGTTAATTAAACTTAACTGACTTAAAGCAAACTTAAATAACTAAGCTAGGTTGTCAGATAATTTACATCCGAATGGATAGAGAAATGTAAAATAAAATACAATCTTAAAAAAAAATACTATTTAAAATGTTTAAAATGTGTGTGATACTTCTTCTGTATTTAACACAAAGGTTAAGAAGATTGAAGAGGAACAGGAGCCTTTAATAGCAAAAGCTAAGGATGTGAAAAAAAAAGATAAATAGGCCAATATACTTGCCCTAATTAGCAGGGTGGATATTATCCATTTATTTCTTATAATTGCATTGTTTTCAATAGGCTACTTGGCCAGACCCATCCTTCACAATAAATTTCATCACACATATTTCACATATGGCTTACACCGTCTAAATGGGGAATTGTTGTCAAACAGGGCAGACATCTGTGATGTATGGCCTTGCATTTCCATACAGAGTGGCGAGTGAATTAACCCGTTTGCTGCAGTAGAGAAGGTCGTCCTCCACTCACCGGTTTGTCTCTCCGTTCCTCGCAGCGGCTCTGGTCCCGTTCGCCGTCACGCGGCGGATAGGACACCCGTACCAGAACCGGACTCCGCCCAAACGGAAAAAGCCCCGCACGTCCTTCTCCAGGGTTCAGATCTGCGAGCTGGAGAAGCGCTTCCACCGGCAGAAGTACCTGGCCAGCGCCGAGCGCGCCGCCCTGGCCAAGAGCCTGAAGATGACGGACGCACAGGTCAAAACCTGGTTCCAGAACCGCAGGACCAAGTGGAGGTCCGTATGAAATATAATAACTTTGGCATTTCATCACACTCTTGCCGTTAAAAACAAACAAACAAAAGTCGACTGCACAAGCTTCCCCCCGCTAGAATTAGTTCCAGAGCTCGATAAACAAACTTTTCTGGTTGTGACGATGTGAAGATGACCCCGCGCCCCATTTCCTGTGAATTGACCCCGTCGACACGGAACCAAAACAATGCGGTTTGGATAGAAACAGCAAATTATTAGAGAAATAATAAAAACTGCTTTGATATAGTGTGTTATCATCAACCTATATTGTCTCCTCGTATTCTTCTTCATCCCCTTTAATAAGTAACAAAATATAACTTATAAATATCTATACAGAATTTATACAGAAAAAACACATTAATGTAGTTGTTTGATCATCAGACAACTATAGTCAATTACTACGTTTTTTATGTAGCTAATTATTCGTGCTAGAAGCAAATATCTCATTCTTTTTCATTTTTATTTTTAGAACTGATTCATTTAATCGATTTAATTCAGCTTTGGGTAATTTTTTACATGTTTTCCTTTTTGTCTTCTTGCTCTTCATAACATAATATTACATTGTATCTATTGATTGATTTAATTATTAATCTGCCTCTTCTTTTTTTTCGCCTGTGTTTATTCAGGAGGCAGACAGCCGAGGAAAGGGAGGCGGAGCGTCAGCAGGCCAATCGCCTCATCCTCCAGCTGCAGCAGTCCGCCCTCCAGAAGTCTCTCGGCGAATCAGCGGTGTCGGATCCGCTGTGCGCCCATAACTCCTCCCTGTACGCCCTGCAGAACCTCCAACCGTGGGCCGAGGAGAGGGAATAGAAGCGAGGCGCATCGCGGTAATCAATAAGCACCAGCTCTGATCCCTGGGAGGACAAATGAATTCAATTAGACATACGTGAGGACAGTGGGACTTACTTTGATCCATGCGATGGATAAAAAAAAAATATATATGTTGGAAAAAAAAATTGGCTATCTGAGCGGACGGTTTAGAAAATGGACCCGAAATGATGGTGAGTGATGTTTGTCTTGAAACAGAAACAGAACGCCCATTGGATTCAATTTTTGCAACTCTGAACATTGGAACCGAGAGACTTTTTCCACCTTCAAACCAGATACAGACCTTTTTCTGAAGTTCTCATCACCCTGCGATGGTCCTCTTACGCTCTTACTCATTCTGTGTATTAGAATGAAGAAGACCCCTCCCTACGCCCCTGCCACCCCCCAGACCTGGAAGAGGAAATTCGCCATTCGTCTGTTTTGTTGTGGAAGAACTGCAGACATAAAACGGCCTACACAACTACACAGAAACAATAGGCTTCTTGCATAAACATGTCACATATAAAACCTGTGCAGTTTCATCAAAATATGCTAAAAGATGGTTTTAGAAAAATGCAGATAAAAGCTGTTTCAGAGGGGTTTTTTTAAATAATTGTTTTGGTGCTTAAACGTTCTTCTAATGTCATTTAAATATCCAACTACAGGCACCAGCACCATCACCTGTATGTACACAGGTGTGGTGCACCACCATAGCCCAAAAAAAGTAATAAAATGTTACATTATACGGGAGAAATGTTTGTGTGCGTGTTAATAAAAGGGAAATAGATGACAGGATTAAGAGGAACAGAAGTGAAAAATATAAAAGAGGCCGCGAGTTGGGTAATAAAGGGCGTGATGCATGTTCTGTGATGGTGGTGATGTTTCTTCTTTTTTTATATGCATATTATCATGCTTTATTTGTGTGTCCCATGGGATCAAGGCACAAATGTACAACTCTTTTTGTACTTTCATTGTATATGTGTAAATAACAATATAAACTGTTCTTGTGACCCTTTTTGCTCGTGCTCTTTATGATGCACCATGAAAATGATTTCAAGCTTTTAACACACAATATTATGAGCTACAAAAAAAAATAGAATTGAGTGACAGAACAAATTAGCAGACAGAACTTCATTTTTTTCTTGCAAAGTTTATTGATAAATATAATGATTTTTACAGTATTTCAATACACATATTATTTAATTGTGACAGTTTTTTAAAGATCTGTTTTTCTACCTGTCTGTCAGTCTGTTTGGATGAATGTCTTGTACACCCTTGAGATGAGCACATCTCAGCGAGGACTTTTATTATACTACTGGTAGCACAGTGAGTGGGCGTGACGGTGATTCATTTATAAATCTTTTTTTTGTCCTGCTCAATCTCCCAAACGACGGCCCTTGTTTGAACATGGCTTCCGTTCCTTCAGAATCAGTGACAAGGTCTCTCTCGTCTTCTGTCCTAATCTCTCGTCTCCCTCCGGTCTTTCTCAACCATCCGTCCTTCCCGTAGCTCGCTCTCCTGTCGCTCCCTCACAGTGAAAGGCTGGTCACTCCAAGTCAACATTTATGACGGACGTTAACTGACGACAGAACTCTCCTGTTGAGGCGGACTGATTGTGGTGTCCCCGAGACGGAGCTAGAACCAAAAAAAGACACTAATATCCAACAAAACCGCACAAACAAACAAATGCACGTCCCTCTGCGACTCTGCATTGGTTAGCCGGTACACTTCTTAATGCACTCTGTTTTTAACAACGAGTACCATGTGTTAGAGTAATGAGTTGTATCCAATTAGACAGAAAGACAGACAGATAGTCAGAACCACGCAGACGAGACATGAATCATTCCACACGGCGTTAAGAGGCCATAAACACCACGGTTAAATATCTACAGTCCAGTCCTTTACGACATTGAAACACTGACTGACACCACTGGAACACACACACACACACACACACAGCGGGCGTAAAGAGGACTGTTGCAAGCTGCCACGAGACAAAAGACGGAAAGCTGGCTGAGGGCCGAGTTCAGCTCCGCAGACCTTCATCCACGCCGGACGAGGTGGCTCTTCGAGAGGCTACACTTCCCAAATGTATGTATCTGCGCTGAGTATATTGCCACCGAGTGTTTTCTTACGGCACACACACACACACACACGTTATGTAGGCTTCTGTCTTGCATGCTTCAGAATATTGGTCACGTTTGGTTGTGTCGACACGGAAAACGCATGATGACGGCAGGTGGATGAGCCTCTAATGCACAAAGCCGGCCGCCCAGCCGCTTCTGTGAATTCCAGTCCTTCTTGACGACACGGTTTAATTTACACATTTCAGAAAGGGTATCGGACCAAAAGTGAGAGAATCAGTATTGACGCAATCTCATGAAATGTGCACTGTCAGAGGCGACAGCAACAAAGGTGGGCGATGGAGACCAGGCGAATGGCCACAGAGAGGTCAAATAAAGGGTTTAAGTCCAGAGGGCGCTTTTCCAGAGATTCCTCCTGTGAAGCTTTGCAGCAACCGTTCTTCACAACGCGACAAGATCCATTGTTTTTGTTTCAATGGAAGGCGATGCTGTTCCTTTGCTCTTGTATGTTCGTCTCTCTTTCTCCTCCATCTCTTTTCTATCCGCTCGGTCTGTTGCTCCGTCTCCCTCTCCGCCGTCCTAGATGACATTTTCAAAGAGTTGTAGAGACCTCATGATGTTTTCATCCTGTGCAAAAAGAGATGGGTAATGTGAGGAGAAAGTCTCCCAACAATCATCATTTACTTTGTTTTACTGGCCGCTAGAGGGCAGCAAAGACGTGGACACGGTTAGTGATCTCTAAAACACACCTGCAAAGGGGGAAGATAAGCAACACAAATTCACAGTATAAAAAGGCGTTACTAATGATATTACTGATGGATCTGCTCTACAAATGTAAATAAAAGTGAAGGGATGAAAGAGAAGTGTACCTCCTGACAAGAGAGGATGAATTCGTCCAGAGTAACCACGCCGTCTCTGTTTTTGTCCATTTTCTGTGGAAAGCAACACACATACTGTCTCAAAGGGGACGCAGATATTACCAAAGATACGAGTGAGTTTATAACTGAAAAGACTGAAGTCCGAGGTCTATTCTGGGAGGTCATTGAGTCATTCTCAGCGCTTTACTGCAGAAACGCCACAGCACCTCTCAGACGTCTCCTGCTACTGGTCAGTGTGTCCCGCACCCACGTGGCGTATTTTAAAAAGTGTTTTCACTTTTTAGCTACAATTGATTTCTGGTTTATTTGTAAAAAGAAAACTGTTTGTGGTTGGAGAACAAAGAAAAAAACAGTCATCATGATGCTGATGCTGATTCTGATTCTGAAGGATTTCTTTGCTCCTCTGCTCGTGCTAACTCAGTTTCTTCTGCTGTTTCTCCCTTTGGAAACGTAAAGCATGCAATTCAATGGTGCATCTCTGTTGGGCTATTTGTCAATATTTGTGTTGTAGAAAGTTTTTTTTATTATACTTATTTAAAGGACTCCAATGTTACCAGAAAGAAGGCCTCCACATGCTGTTTGGGTGCTTCGTTTTTCAAGACCGGGTAAGTGTACTTCCCCATCATGTCGTATATCGCTCTCACGATGTCTGTCATCTCCTATCAGACGAGGCCACAAAGGAGAAGTGTGTGTAAACACGACCACAAATTTGGGAAATAAATGAAGGACTGACATGCACACTTCCACAATGACCCACCTCTTTGTTGATGTATCCGTCTCTGTTGATGTCGTAGAGGTTGAAGGTCCACTGGAGCTTCTCAGTGATGGAGCCCCTCAGCAGGATTGACAGCGCTGTCACAAAGTCCTAGGAGACAAAGAGGACGGATCTGAGATTGGAGATCTGTTGTGGAAAACAAAACCAGAATTCTAATTGAACAGGAAGAATCAAACAAACCTCGAACTTGATGGAGCCGCTGTGCGCTGTGTCAAACGCGTTGAACAGGTAGTGTGCGTAGGTGCTGGCATCTGCGGGAAGAAAAAGAAGAAGAAGAAGAAAATGCTTGTGTGTGGTAGAAAGAACACGGGTTTGGACTCAAACAGCACCAAACACAGTCTTTACCTCCATGGGGGAAGAACTGGGCGTATATCTGCTTGAAGGTTTCTTCACTTACGATGCCACTTGGACATTCCTGGAAAGAGGCAAGGGCAGAAAGAGAGGGTGAGGAGGAGGGACGGTCAAATTTATGTGGAATAAATCAAAGGATTGAACAAAGTTGATTGGAGCCCGGCTATTGATTAAACCTCTAGAAGCTGTATTGTAGTATTGTCTAATAACACCACAAGCAGAACAGAATGCAGTTACGAAGTCTGTGCATCTGTCCAGTGTCACTGTCGACACTCGCTTTTACAAAGAGAAAATGGGCTACTGCAAAAAATATCTACATATAATTAATATCAACAAGAAAATGGAAGACACAACACCAATAAAAGCCAAAACACACAAAGTGTAGCTGTATACAAACAATCTGCCCCGTATATGGAACCACAACCAAATGGATTTGGTGCCCAAATTAAATTGTATTAATAAACCATAATGCAGCTACACCAGAGAGATTGCAGCTGTGGACGGCTCCCCCATTTTTTCTGCTCCAAATGTCTGTCTTATGCACCTGTTATTTCCACAGATCTGTGACACTGTGATGAGATTTGACCTCATTGGAGTCCGACTGAGTCCGTCTCACAGGTCATGCTTGACATCACATAACGCTTACATTAGGGTGGGATTGCTCTTGGCTTCAGACGGGTTACTGCACAAGCCGGGAGGCCGTTGAATGATTAAAGGTGTGATTATATTTTTGTTCACAGAAATTAATACAATAGTTGTGAAAGAAAAAAAGGAAAATCGCTTGGTATGCTGGGTGCAAAGAAAACATGAAGTTTCCATGTTAGAGCGAGCATTGCACTCATCCACACGTGGGCGTGTATGTTTCAGGTTGCACTTACATTCTTGAAGCCCCTGTAGAGCACTTGGAGCTCTCTTTTGTTGAAGTTAGTTAGCGCTTCCAGCTGGTCGAGGCCCTCAGGTCGATGGCACACCGTTGTCATCTCCAAGTCATCATCGGCTTTGTCTGAAGACACACAAGGCAACATTCCCAACTCATTCGCCACACACAACGAGGGATGGACTATCCAAGTATTGTGGAGAAGAAGAAAGTGGGCATATGACCGGGAGCGGGGACACTGAGATGATAGGACTCTAATTTAAAACAGGAATGAGAGGAAAGGTAGAGGTAGAGGTCAGTTGGCTGTTCCTCGTCCCAGCGGCCGTATCATTAACACCTCATTACTCTCCTCGCCGAGGGGAGGGAGGACGAGCCATTGACTCTGAGACGAGACGCGCCGGGTCACAGAGCCTGGTTTGACCTGCCACGAAAGCCAGCTTGCCAGCACATTTGCACAAGTGCACACATTCTCCCTGAAGCAATTTAGAATGTAATAATTATGCATAATATCATAACCTTGCAATATTTAATAGAAACGGTCCTAAAAAAAACGACACGTTTAGCAGTAAATGCTGGACCAAAAAAACACGTCGGTGGTTAAGTAGGAGGCTTTCTGAACACGGTTTCAGAATAAAGTCTGAATGTCACCGAGCTGCCTTAAACTGTCCAGCTGTGTTGCAAAAAGGATTTTTAAAAGCTCGCCATCCAAAGCACCGCCTGTTGATCAAGTATAATTTCCTCTCTGTCCTCTGCATTTACATGCAAATCCCTGTAATCAGTGAACAGATCGTTGCGCCGCCATCAGAGGAGGTACGCAGCCAGCAGGTAGAGACACACTGTCTCATGTTGGTACGATGAGTGAACCGGCGCTTTTCCAAGGGCCCCTCGTGCTGATTTAATGACGTTCGACAGTGTTCACACTGTCCTTGGCACTTAAATCCTCCCATGTGATACATGCAGAAGATTTCATGAGCACCTGAAGTGCTGCTGGTGTTTTTCAACGTGGACCCTATTTCCCAGTGTTTTTAGGGTCTGGGTGACTGATGTGGTTGAAGACATTTTTTAAAAAGTGGCCCAGTATCTGCAGCGTATTCACTCGAGGCCACTCCCTAATACATTATGGAGAGGAGCCAACAGAGGAACCAGACGGCGTTCTCCTCTCATCTTCCACTTCCTGTTTCTCATCGTGTCATGTGACTTGTTTCCTGAAGAAAGTTGGAGAGAAGTTTGCCACTTTTGTCAGTATGTAAAGCGTAGCTTAGTGTTAGCTGAACTATTTTGAGTGGCATGATTAAACATTTAGATCATCATAAAGAAAGAAAAGAACGGATCCAGAAGAATATTGTTTAGAGAACCACTTAGAGAACCTACAGTGACGGCTTTAAGTGTGAAAGTGAGTTTGAGTTGAAATGCCAGTTATGATGTTACATACCTTTGAAACGTTAAACAATATTGAACAGTCTTAATTCAATTATTTTTGCAATATTGCATCGCAAATTCAAATAAAAGTCATTTTAAATCGTAACAGCCCACATGACATCCAGCATCATGTTCTTGTATAACTTCTGTTGAGTTGCCAAACAGTCTCTCTTAATATACTGTAGCACCTTTCCCCTGGCACACACACGCACGCACACACACACACACACACACACACACACACACACACACTGATGTGATGCTTTTATATGCTGTCCTGTAGATTCACACTGACGCACCTTTAGGGGTAACACCAGTGCATTCGTGTGTGGGGCTTTGCTGTGACTCTATCGTCCATGTTAAAGCCTTGATGGCTCCTGCACAGTGACCACAGCTCAGTGCGTCCCAGCTCAAGGTACAACGCATAGTGTGAGCCTGGACGAGGTAGTACTCAGGTTCGGTTTGGGGATGCTCAGGATGCAAAAATAGGCATCATTCACTAAAAGGCAAGCAGATATCTCCAAAACCACGTGACTCCCAAACCATCTAGATTGATAAATAGCACTACAGTTAACTCACTTCTTCTTCACTCACTTCTGATCAGACTGGTTAGCAGGGCAAAATCCTTTCAGCGTGTACTGAAGTAAGATCTACAGTGTGTGCAGGCTGCAAGCAAATGCGATACATGACATTATGATAATATGACCAAAAACAACCAGGCTGATTCTATTTCTGCTGGTCGTGTGGACACGGGGACGGTGGTTATAGTCCTGACTCACCCTCCACACTGATGACTCCCAGCAGATGCAGCATTTTGACGGCCCCACAGCACAGCAGAACGACGACTACAGCTTGTAAGCTGCTCTCGCCCGGCTCCTCTTTCTCCATCCCGACCAACTCCTTCCTTTCCACTGCTCTGCTAGAAGCCGTGCGTCTCCAACTCTCCTCTTTATCCTTGTTCCACTTTCTTTACTTTAACTTTAAAACTGGGACTTGCTCCATTCTCTCCATCCTGCCTTCTCCCAGTGCGATCAGCACCCGCCTGCCTCTCTCGGTCTGTCTTTTTATCACCCTGCATCCCGACTCCCCGGGGCGTCTCCCTCTCTTACGCTGACCTCTGTGCCATGCGACTAACTGCCCTCCCCTGCCTGCCCGCACCCCCTCCCCTCCCCCCCCTCTGTTACACTCCCTGTGTCCTTCACAGGAGGTCCCACCGGAGCGCTGTGGATAAACTTTCTCTCTACTGTACGACCGTGTGTGTGTGTGTGTGTGTGTGTGTGTGTGTGTGTGTGTTTATGAGCACATCAGCAGTTGATTAATCGGCCCCATTAAGACACACAGTCCTCCTCGAACAACAGGAGACTTAATTTACTACAAAGAGACTTTTCTAAATAAACAACGGGTGCGTCCTTTTAAAATGACTTACTCCACAATGTGAAGAAGACTTTATCTAAATCATTAGTTATGAAGACACCCAGTGAGACAACCCTATCCGTCTCCTTGATAATGTCTTAATATTGTAATGTGTCTCACTGAGAAGAGCATAAAGTGCCGTAACCTGAAATGACCAGTAGGGGGCAGCAGCGACTCACAGAGGAGCCAGTCTGCATCTCTAATAGTGACACGTTCATGACGCTCTTCAATTTAAGTTTAGCTCGATTTACTAAACTCGGATTAGTACGGCGATTGCTTAGTTCAATTTAATTAAATGGCAAGAGAAGCATTCAATTTCCTTCAGAGACATTCAAAACATTTTTTAGTCCTCCATCCCGTTAAGACTTTTGTAATCAAAGAGACTACGGCCGATTTGATAGAAGGCTTTGAGTTACAATTAAAATGTGTTTTAAATGATCACTTCAAACCAAGTTCATAGTGGCTTCTACACCCACTGGGCCTGTGCTGTAATCCATTCATGGTTATTAAGAAGTGCATATCCCTAATTCTAATCTCACCGCAGTTTCCAGACAATGTTCCAAGGTCTAATTGTAGGGTGAAGGTAGCCTACTAGTAAATAAAAGGTACAGAAACAGTGTTCCAAAACAAAATCAGTAAATTCACCAAAGCAGAGATACATCCAACCTAACAAGTGGCCTTGAGAGTTGCGCGTATCGGACATTCGACCGAAACCCTGAGCCATTCCTGTCAGGGGTTGTTGACATCATTGACTGCAGACGAAGAGAAGACTCAAACACACAGCGCACATCAGAAACAGGGCTGAACAATTCACTTCCCTCTTAAGTCGTTTCTTCTGATGCCCGCTGATCCCTCCTTTCTCCTCCATTTCTTCTCCCTCCCACTCCCCCATGCTTTCTCTCTTTCCTCCAGCACGCTGTCATTTAATTCTTGCCAGCCAGCGTTTCATTTGCGTAATCTGAATGAGCCATAATCTGCCGTCCTGGCTGCGATGGAGAGCGCTCGCTCTCCCTCACCGGCCCCATTAAAAGGCGGGAAGCTGTCACCAAGAAGGTAGCCGCTCGATGGGCTCCCTGATGGAATGGAGGAAGTATCTTGAAGATGGATTTCAGCTGCGACACGCTTGTTTTTGCGACCTTGCGAAAAGCGCTGCACGACAATTCCCTCATTGCCCTCATTCCAGGATGCATCGTCTTCCTCGGTAGACGACCCAAGCCAGAGGACGTGGGGACGTTCTGAGTGGCCTTCGGGTGGTTCACCGAAAGTCCAATGAAACGCTCTGCTCAAGGACTCACACGGACACACACATTGAGACACGCACGCACGCAGTCGCACAACCCTCAAGCAAAACCAGACTGAGCACATAATCTCAAGGGTCATGGAGGAAATATCAGACAGCACAACTGTGGATCACAGAATACACACTCCCATGCTTGTGTGCTAACACATGGCTGTTTGCTCACCAGCCCTCAGCCTGGGAGTGAGGACTGAAGTGCTGGAGGGTGTTTGCAGTGTTTGCTTGCTTGAGTGCACGCAGGGCGAAGACACACACACACACACACACACACACACAAATCCACATCCGTCACCTCCTCATATTGTTAGTGGGCCACGATTAAGTTTAGGAGGCGTGAGTCAAATACGGCTCGTACATAGACGGCAGAGGTTGCAGCATGCCAATATTGACTTTTGAGTAAATACGTGTCTAATCTGTAGAAGCACACGCACGCGCGCGCACACAAACACACACACACACACACACACACACACACACACACACACACACACACTGCTGGATGCCAAGAGAGGAGAATGACGAAATGACTTAATAAGCACTCACACCAGCTAATGGGAGCGTGGGTGAAGGAAGAAGGGAACAGATGAGAGAATAGATGCATAAAGAGAGGGGAGAGAGGTGTGGAGAAGAGGTTGCCAGGAGGAACAGATTGTGGCGGCGCCACGTGAGCGTGTGGCTGGGGAAATTAGGAGTAAAGACAAAGAGGAACACGGGTTGGGATGGAGTGAGAGGATGAAAAGGGGGAATCTACAAGGAGACGAGAAAGTGGGAAGAGAAAAAGACGTGAAACGGGAGAAAACGAGAGGCGGGTAAAGAGGAATCAGAGAGCACAAAGGAAGCAAGATGAGAGAGGGAGGAAGAGACGGAGAAGGAAGGGAGACGGGGAGACGATTGAGACGGCATCGCTGCAGGCGGCAGTGGAAGTGAGGAATAACACAGAGGGGGGGGGCTGAAAAAGGGAATGAAGGATTCACCGGGGAGGGTAGAAATGTGCCAG